TGTGTGTGTGTGTGTGTGGTTGCTCGTTTTTCCTCAATATAATCCCAAAATCATGAGGTTTTTCATGCATTTCGGCCATGTTTCCGATCGAATTTCCGCTTCCCTATTTCGGCTAAACGGCCACATCACGTTTCCCCCCTCTCCGAATGATTTTTTTTGGTTGCTGTACTTTTGAAAAAATTAGAGGATACATGTGAACAAGAGGAGAATGGCCAAAAATTTACTTTATTTCTGGAAAATTGAGCCTCTTCCTTTTTGAGCTTTGAAACATTGAAAATTCACTTTTGTAGTTTACATTTTGATCTTAAAAAAGTCTTGATTAGGTCTGAAGTTCAGCTGGAAACCAAGATAAGCCTCCTTGAACTTGCGAAATAAATTACAAAACGTTTTTTTCTGTGAAAAGTTCCCCCTTTCCTTGAAGCCTCAATTTTTTTCTGGATTTGATCATAAAATCAGATAAATCAAGAAACTCTTTTGTAATCCAAAAATTCCCGATTCCAGAGACCTTTATATTTGAATACTGTGTTAGATGAAAACCAGTCACGCTTCTGGAACCGTAAAATTAGTTGGAAAGCTTCTTTCTAGTCAAAAAAATTCCCCTTCAGAGTTTTTTTATCTTTTTAGTTATGTTATGATCATTTCAAGTCCAGTTTAAGCTCTCCTAAGTCCGGAAATCTGATGGGAATCCTCTTTTCTATGAATAAAATGCTTCTTCAGGACCATCTATCATTTTCTCTTATGATAAGATCAGTTCAAATATAGTTGGAGCTTTCCTGAACCCAAAAAAACCAGATTATAGTCATCATCTTCATAAAAATGTGTCTACAGAAATGTCTCTCATGTTATTTTATCATAAGGTCTAGTTTAAAGAAACCCCCCTTAACTTTCACCTGGGAAATCTCTCTTGTCCTTTTTTTCATCACAAAAATCCGTTCATGTACAGTAAAAGCCCTACTGGACTCGAAAACCAGTTGAAAAACCCTTCTTCCCCCCTCCAGATTCCATACCTCCAAAAGCCCCCTCCCTCGACGATCCATTAGCCTTCAAGCTCACGATCCATCCATTCATCTTCTCAAACAATTTTTCCAATTTGCCCCCTCCATAATATTGCTCTAACCTCACCAAGCCAATGGTGGTCGGCCGGGGGGCCGCGAATTTATTCATGGAATATTTATTCGCCTTCTTCGCCTTCAAACCAATCGACGCCCTGAAAACTTTTTCCTCCCTTCATGTATATTTAGTATGAAATTAGGGGGGCTGGTTTTTTTGAGAATTTGAACTGTTCGGAGATATAGTTAATTCACCTTTGACTTTGACGAGGTCTGTAAAAAAAGTAGATTTTTTTGTTGAATCCAAAATTTTTTTCTTCATTTCAGAAACTCCAAATTTTTAACTTGGAAGTTTAAAATTTGAATTTTACTGATTTTTTTGATCAAGTTTGATCTTGAATTGCTTAACGAAAAGAATTATAAACCTTTGTAGATCCGAAAATCATCAAAATCTGAGAAAAGCGGAGAATTTGGTTTGCATCCGACCCAAAACGACTTGCGCGTCTAGGCAAGCTTCTCCATGTAAGTTGCAGAAATAGCATAAACCGCAACGCGACCGCGACGCTTCGAGCCATTCCTAGTGCGGACAGGGTTGCTGAAGCTTTGCTTGAGAAGTTTTGCGTAACAGAAGAAAGTTCATTGTTGACTACAGTGAGTCGTATTGCTCATACTAGAGAAATGTTGCTCATCTTTCAAACAAGTTTGAGCCCAGTTTCACTTTTTTTTTTTGATTCTGTTTCTTCCTCTTTGATGATCCGTTTTTTTCCTTCTTTTTTTGAAAATGTCTGATCTTTCTCCTGAGCTTATCTAGGTCCCAAAATTTACCTTTCCTCGACCCAACTTTACTTGAATTTTCACGCCATGCCGTTCGTTTTGTTTTCCGTCCAACACATCGTAAATGATTCAAACGTTTGTTTCCAGATTCGTGTCGCGGTTCCAGTTGTTCCAATTTCGACGCTCGCGCATTTTCCGAGTGACCGCCCGTCCGTGCCTTGATTCCCATTGTTCTGTTGGGAGCTCTGCGGGGATTTCTGGCTCCGATTTCCTACTATTCCTCATGTTAGAGTAGCCTTCTCATGAATTTTTTTTCGGACGTGCCTTCGAAAAAAGCTCAAAAATCTTGGTAGTCTATGAATTGGAAGAGTCTGACCTGTCTGCGCTCTCTTATCCCTCATAATGGAAATAGCACGTGAATGGGAGAGGGTCTCCAAGTGAGAGGAGATGTTGAAAGAGTCTGACCTGTCTGCGCTCTCTTTTCCCTCATCTGGAGACATGTAAATAGCACGTAAAAACGAGGGTGCAGAGAAATCATCTTTTGACAAGTCTAGGCGATTACTGGAGCGCAATCGGAACACAGAACTTCTTTATAAAACCTTATTCATTTTATTGCTCATGTTATAGGAAATGGCCTTATACCGTCGGCTGTAGACGATAGTTTCATTATCTTCTTCTTGTTTTCAATGAAATTTGACAATTTTTAACCCTAGGTTGTAGTTTTTGTACTATTACTCATATTAGAGCTCTGAAAATTGAGGGATTTCTGATTTTCTGCGGCCAGGATCCACCTTTTTTCTAGGTAGAAGTGACTCATCGTTGCTCATATTATAGATTTATTGCTCATACTAGAGCGTATTTTTTTCTGAGATTGTGTTTTGAGTGTCTCTCATAAAAATTACGATTTTTGAACCCGAAAATTCCAAAAATCTCCAGTCAACTCTCGACCAATCGCCACCTTTTTTCGTCACCTTCTCAAGAAAAAAGTAAAGTTAATCGGAAAGAGAAACTGCGAAAACTTCATCTTCATTTCAATGTTACACAAAGCAGTAGCGGTGTGATGTGTATGTGTGTCTCGACCGTTTTTGGCCGCCACTCTCCAAAAATCAGCCCGAAACTCTACCGCCACCGAGTACACGACACGTTTGGGCCGGAGGCCACGCCCACTTTTTGCGCCGATTTTTTTTGGCGTTTTTTGAAGTTGCTTGTTTTTTGTGCTTCTCTTTAACAGTTTTATTCTAGAAAAGATAATTTATCAATCAAAAATTGTATTGCTCATGTTAGAGGAGGCGTGGCTTGTTTTGAAGTTACTTTTCCTTTCGTGGGCCTCTTCTACGATCTATTATTCTAAAGAAAATACATATTCCCACCGTAAGGGATGTTGCTCATGTTAGAGGGGGCGTGGCTGGAAAATTTTTAAAAAAACATTGGAAAAAACATTTTAGACAAGGAATGAGCAAAGTATATTCTTACAGAAGCCGGAAAATCATCTAGAACTTGTTTTCGAACCTAAAAATCTGAAAACCCGCGACGCAGCACCCTCATGCGTCGCGGTTTTGAATGACGTCATAATATTTCAAAAAATAATAATAAAACTGAAAACAATGACGTCATGATAGTTCAAAACTGACATCATAATATTTAAAAAAAATGACGTCATACTATTTTTTTAAAAAAATGACGTCATATATTAAAGATAATATTAAAGAAAAAAATGGCGTCATAATAGTTCAAAAATGACGTCATAATATATCAAAAAAACGACGTCATAATATATCAAAAATGACGTCATAACATTTCAAAAAAATAATAATATTTCGAAAATGACGTCATAACATTTCATAATACTGAAAAAAATGACGTCATAATATTTCAAAAAAATAATAATACTGAAAAAAAGCGGCACGTGCCTTTTTGTTGTAGGAATTACAAAATGATTCATCGGCGACTATGGGCGAAGGGGAAAAAAATTTTTCTTACGTCTCCTGTGGTTTTCCATACATTGTTTGACTTTTTTCTTACCTTTCTTTGATTTTTAATTGGAAAATGTTTTTCGCTATCAATTTCGCCATTGATTGGTCTTTTTTTGCCGATTTTTTTGAATCATTAAAGTTTGGAAATTTAGTAAGATCCATTGGAATTATTGATGAATGTACAATTTGCCAAACTTGTACCAAAAAAAGAAAGAAAGAAGGAAGTTGTGCGTTGGGGCGCAAAAACGACGGCGACCCAATAACGAGTGGCTTGGCAAATTGCCAATCAGCTCGTGTCCGACGTTTCTTCAACCGCCTTTTTTTTTGGTGCAGCTTTTTTTGTTTCTAGAAATGTTAAAAAACGAAAAGCTGAAGCTTGTAACGAGGGTTGGACGAGTCTGGGTGTGGGTGAATATTTCTTGGATTTTTTTTTTGCTTTCTAGTGACTTTTTTTTTCAATTTTTACGTTTTATTGATGTACTTGTATCAAATAACAGTTGAATAATGCATTTTTCTGAAAAATTATAACTAATTTCAGGTAGAAAATTATATTTTTAGGTCCTTTTGGTGTTCAAAATTATTGATTTTGAAGAAAATGAAGGCTGACGTTTTTGGCATGAAAATCTTGTTACAAAACTTTTTCAATACCCATTTTTGACCAGGGAAAGGCAAAAAACTAGTTTCTTCCTAGGAAAATTGTAAGTGGCAACTTGAGGGTTTAGACGTTTGAATGGCCACTATAGTAGAAAAATCAGCCGCCCCTTTAGGAGTCCATATGATACTACTAGAGTACTAAAAACTACTATAGTGGCCACTTAGACGCAAAATAGTGACTTCTATAGGGGTGGTTTTAGGGGCCACTTTAGGGTCGTCTTCAAGTGGACCTTTAGCAACCTCTTAAAGGGCCACTAGAGTTTTTTTTTTTGATTTTCTGGCTCTTTGTATAGATTTTGAGGCTCTGGTTCCTTTTTACTCACTCTGAAAGCTTTGAATTTTTCAAATCTGATAATTTTGGGCTTTTTTTGAACTCCATTCTCATTGGAAAATGCGGATCTAGAGCTATATTGGATTTTTTTTTTTGGGACCAAATCAATTTTCTGAACAAGTTTCCCATTTTTATGACGATTTCGAGACCAATTTAAAGTCCATCGTGCGTGTTTTCACTCGAGAACCAACTCTTGAAAAAGACGAAGGACTCCAAATCATGCATGTTGTACCCGGGGAAAAAATCTGGTCGGAAGTCGTGCAAACAAGTGCGGCGGCCGGAGAAGAAGACGACGAAGAAGAAGACGTGGTAATGCACTGCGGAGCTGCTCGCGACGTCGAGCCGCTCGGCGAGCAAATCGAGTCACGAAAGGCTGTCGTCCCACTCGTCTCTTCTTTTAGTTCTTCCCAACTTTTCTTCTTTTTTTTCGTCGTTTTTTGGGACATGCTTTTTGATAAGGAATTTCCCCTCTTCTGTCTTTATTCTGTGAAAGAGTGACCACTCAAGAGATTCTTCTATTGGCCACTTAAGAGGCTCCTCAAGGACTACGTGGCGAGGTCACTAAAGTGGCCATTAAAACTACCTCTATAAAAGCCACTATTTTGCGTCTCAGTTGTCACTATAGTAGTTTTAGTGACCTAGTGGTACCCCTCACTAGTTAGACTTCTAAAGTGGCCACTAAGTTTGGTCACTTAAAGGACCACTAGTTCGACTACTATAGTGGCCACTTGCACTTCAAAACCTCTATAGAAGCCACTACTTCGCGTCTTAGTGGCTACTTAAGAGGCTCCTTAAGAACTACAGGACCCTAAGGTGGCCACTAAATCTACCTCTATAGAAGCGACTATTTTGCGTCTCAGTGGCCACTATAGTAGTTTTTAGGGGTCTTGTAGTACCGCTGAGACTTCTAAAGAGGCCACTAAAATCAAGTCACTTAAATGACCACTATTTCGACTACTTTAGCCGCCACTAAACCTTGAAAACCTCTAAAGTGGTCACTAAACTTTCCTCAGTTCACCATGACTTGTAGCAGTCTAACCTCTCTGCGTCTCTTTTCTCTCTTCGGCCAAAATGTGAAATAGCACGAAAAAGAGAAATCAGACTGTTTGAATTTGAGGCGAATATTTCTTTTTGAACTATCGAGATCTAATAATCGATTTTTTTTTTCTGTCGGGGACGCTCTCTCATTTTGACGTGCTATTTTTGCGTTTCTCTGACTTCAACAATGAGAGAGAAGAGACCCTGTTGTAAATGGCGGTGAATGGACTATAAGTATCCGAAATAGTCAGAATCGTTTTTTTTTTGTCGGCGATGCTCTCTCATTTTGATATGCTATTTTAACGTTTCTATGACTTCATCGATGAGAGAGAAGAGACCCAGAGAGGTTAGAATAATGTAAATGGCGGTGAATGGACTATAAATATCCGTTATAATTTTTTTTCGAACTATCGAGATTTATAATCGATTTTTTGTCGAAGACGCTCTCTCATTTTTACGTGCTATATTTGCGTTTCTCTGACTTCAACAATGAGAGAGAAGAGACGCAGACAGGTTAGAATGTTGTAAATGTCGGTGAATGGACTATGAAGCCTTCCTCCCAATCGGAAAAAAATTTATTTAAGCTTTTCCTCATCCCAAATTTTTTGAAATTTTGAAGAATCATGTGATCCAAGAATCATCTACCTTAAGTCAGTTCAAAAGGTCCAGGAAATCTTTTTTCGAAAAAAAACGACGCTTTTGAAAAGGGAAGGCGATGGCGTGGTTTTTGTCTCGAGAAGTAGGCCTCGCCCGTTTCGTACTTCTTTTTACTTTCTCCAACACCGCTACCCAGAACCCCCATACGTTTTTTCCGCGGACAGGGGCCACCCGCCGAGGCATGTGACACGTTTTTTTCGAAATTTTTTTTCTTGGAACTTTTTTTTCCGTTGCGTTGTATGTACATGAGACCTGTTGAATCGATTTTTTTTTCCGAAGTTCCGTCGAGAAATTTTTAAGAGCACCTTTATTAGTCTGTGAGCAAACTTACCTGGTTTTTCGATTTTTGAACTTTGGGATGTTCCAGCGAAGTCTTCGCAAGAGTTCTATCCACTCGGAACAGCTTCAAAAATGTTCAGAATTTTTTTTTTGAACAATTTTTTCCGGTTTTACTGTTATATCTACATGAGACCTGTTGAATCGATCCTTTCCTGATTTTTTTTTTCGACTTTTTAACCTGAGTGATTATACAAGCTTACTTTCTGAGCCTATCCAAGTCTTGATGTTTTGATAAATTTCCTGGAAATCGTAATTTTCATCGGTTCTGAACTTTTGGGAGCTTTATAAGCTTTTATTTCGATCAAAATTGGTTCCATCCAAAAATGATCTCCAAACTAAATTTTTTTATCAGAACTTTTTTTCAAGCACTTTTTAGATTTTTTTAGGCTTTATCTTGATTGAATACAGCTTCAAAACGGTTCAGGCTTATTTTTTTGCTTAGTTGTTTTTCTAAAAAGCTACTTTAAGTCGAATTTTTCCTTTTTTTAAAAAGCTGAGAATCTTTTTCAAAAAGTTCTATGGCTTGGGTCTGATTGTAAATAGTTTCGAGACGGTCCAAGGCCCACCATATTCTGCTTATTTTTAAAATTTTTTTTTTCAAAAAGTCATTTTAACTACTTTTTCATCGGTTCAGGACCTTCTGGAGCCTTTTTCAAAGCTCTTTAGGATCTATTCTGATTGAAAATAGGTTCTAAACGTTCCAGGACCCCATTTTACTCATTTCTACCCTCAAAAATTTATCTCAACTTCTTTTTCAACGGTTCAGGACCTTCTGGAGCCTTTTTCAGAGCTCTTCAGGTTCATTTTTGATTGAAAATAGGTTCAAAATGAATTCAAACCTTCTTTTTTTTTCTCATTTTCAAGCAAAATTTGCTGTCAAAAAAAAATGAGGGATAGGTTCAAAAGGGCTCATTCTTATTCTGTTCGCTCTCATCTCAACCCAACCTTTTTTATCTGCTCCTTGAAGCCTTTTTGAAGCTTTAGAGCTTTATTTTGATTCAAAATATGTTCAAAAAGGTCCAGAACCCACCCTATTCTGCTTCGTTTGACCTTCAAAAAGCTACCTTCAAGTCAAACTTCTTCTTCTTTGAAACTACATCTGCAACCTAGCCTTCATTAACAGCCTTTTCGAAGCTTAAAGGCTCTAGTCTGATCAGAAATCGGTTCAAAAAGGTCCAGAACCCACCCTATTCTGCTTCGTTTGACCTTCAAAAAGCTACCTTCAAGTCAAACTTTTTCTTCTTTGAAACTACATCTGCAACCTAGCCTTCATTAACAGCCTTTTCGAAGCTTAAAGGCTCTAGTCTGATCAGAAATCGGTTCAAAAAGGTCCAGAACCCACCCTATTCTGCTTCGTTTGACCTTCAAAAAGCTACCTTCAAGTCAAACTTCTTCTTCTTTGAAACTACATCTGCAACCTAGCCTTCATTAACAGCCTTTTCGAAGCTTAAAGGCTCTAGTCTGATCAGAAATCGGTTCAAAAAGGTCCAGAACCCACCCTATTTTGCTTATTTTTATGCTCAAAAAGTTAACTTCAAGTCAATTTCTTCTTCTTTAAAACTACATCTGCAACCTAGCCTTCATTAACAGCCTTTTCAAAGGGCTCTAGGGGCTCTAGTCTGATCAGAAATTGGTTCAAAACGGTCCACCCTATTTTGGTATACACACACGTTTGTCCTTGTGCAGGGATTTTGGAGGTTAATTGCCGTAATCAGTCAAATGGAATAGGCGGAGGCGTGGGGGCCATTGCGATGTGGGGGGACCTTCGCCAAATCGACGACCCCATGGCTGGCAGTAATTTTTATCGATTATTATGTCCATTTATGGGTCGAGTTTGATTGGATTGAGAAAAAGCCGATTTTTTCGGTTTTCGGAAGTTTTGAGCTTTCTTTTTTGGCTACCTTTTATTATTTAACCTTGGTAGAATTTTAAAAAACCATTTTTAAGGTTTTTTCTGTCCTTGGGCATTTTTTTTACACGTAATCTTTGAAAGTACAGCTTTTTCCTGCCCCTGATCGTCGATAAAAAAACCCCTCAAGTGGTCACTTCAATATTCCTTGAGCTTTTTCTTCCAACTACGCTTGTTTCCTTCAAGTCTATCCAAGAGAAATTTTCAAAAAGTTCAATTTTCTTTTTTTTTTTCGTTTGCAACCGTTTTTCGAAATCTATGTGTCTACAGAACCGTTTGAAAAATGTGCCCTTGTTTTTTTTTCTCAGCTTTTTTTGATTTTAATACTTTTGAGAACAAGTAGCCTCTTAAAGAAAATACCGTCACTCTAGAGATCACTAGAAAAATCAGGAATCTTCTAAGATTTTTCCTCAAATCCTCAGCTTCGATTTTTGAGAGAATCAATCGATATTCTGAGCTCTTAAGTGGTCACTTGGATTTTCTTATGTTTTCTAAAAATTCCAGGCTTTTTATTGGTCTTTTAAGAATTCTCTGGTAGGATTTTTAGTTCCTCTTGTAAATTCCAATACTAGATTTTTTTATTTTTCCGGATTCTTTAGTCTTTTTTTGATAGTTTCACAACGTCAACTGGTTACAGCACTGATAAAAACCAAAAAAATTTGTCCCACGATTATAATTTTTTTGTTTGCAAATGTTGTTTCATTCCCACGACGGGTTGGTCTTCGATCCTACGATTTTTTTCAAAAAAAAATTTTTCGAGCACTTTTTTTGACTATCAATCATTCATTAAAAAAATGAGAGATTTCAATGATTTTTCCAATCGATCTCAAATGCATTTTTCTTACATCTCGATCCCATATTAATGAGCTGAAAAATTTGCTTCAAATTGTACCCAATTTTTTCATTAAAAACAACCCATTGTTATTCGATTTCCAAAGGAAATTTGTATAGAATAACACGATTTTTTTCCCAAAAATTTTTTTGTAGTCAATATTTTTTTGCCTCGTTTCCAAATAATTCGTTATCGAAATTTTTTTGTGAAATTTGAATTTTTCAGGACGAAAAAAAGGCCCCCGCACATGCTCAGACATTTGCTCACCGGCCAAGCGGATGTTGACTTGAAACGAGAGGTTTTTTTTTAAATTTTTTGAAAATTTTGAATCTTTTTCTTTGTTTGTTGAAGGGTTGATGTAGGTTAAATAAGTTCTTGAGTTGATCTAGTCGAAAAATAAGGAAAGCGAGAGATCAACTACTGCTGAAGAGACCGCAGAGAACAAGAGAGATCTCTGCATCTCTGGCGTCTCTCCAGGCCACCTGTACTCTCTAGCTTTCGAGATTATTCAACTTCTGACGAAAAGTGAGAGATCAACTACTGCTGAAGAGACCGCAGAGAACAAGAGAGTTCTCTGCATCTCTGGCGTCTCTCCAGGCCACCTGTACTCTCTATTTTTCGATTCAACTTCTGACGAAAAGTGAAAGCGAGAGATCAACTACTGCTGAAGAGGCGCCAGAGAACGAAAGAGTTCTCTGCATCTCTGGCGTCTCTCCAGGCCACCTGTACTCTCTAGCCTTTGAGATTTTTAAGCTCCTTGTGAAAAAATGAGAGATCAACGGCCGCTTGAAGTGCCAGCAGAGAAAAAGACAGTTCTCTGCATCTCTGCCGTCTCTCCAGGCCACCTGTACTCCCTAGCTTTTGAGACTTTTCAGTTTTTTTTCTCCATTTTTGCTATAAACTAATGTTTAAAAATATTATTCTAAGTTTCTAGGATGCCTAGTATTTTTTTGAAAAAAAGGTTAACTTCCACTATTTCTTTTTTTTTTTGCTGTGCGGATGGTTTTATTTTGCGGACCTTCTTGAAAAAAATGTCTGGAGTTGTTTTTTTCACCTTCCCATCCTTTTCATTGACATTTTAATCATGAAAACCCGATTGCTCTCACAAAAATGAGCTTTTCTCAATAGAGCGCGCTTGATAGGACAAAAATCGCCAATGACCTTTTTTCAAGTCTCGATGGTTGAAAAACGCTCTAAATTTTACTTTTTTCTCTTGTTTCTCGATGGAGCATAGTTGGCGCAATAAAATCGCCTTTATTTTTTTTCAGTCTGTCCTGCATCGCCGTGACAGCAAAAATGCCCTTTTTTACTTTTTTCGAACTTATTCTTCCAAAATCGATGTAACTGATAGTAGGAAGGTGTCGGCGGTAATGATAGGGGTGTGTGTGGGTTGGCGTCGACTCAAAACTTCCCTCTCGTCGGCCCGTCGTAGTCGTCCCGAAGACGTACGTTACTGATGGCCTTGAACGTCGTCGTCTCCATCGCCAAAGATACTATCATTTCCTGCCAGAAACCCCTCGCACACACATTTTTTGTGTCCTGTCCCGGCCCGACAGCTCTGGGGACAGCGGAGATTGATCGTTGCATTTTTTGGCTGGAAATTTTTGAATATTTATGTCCAATCAGTACCTGATTCATTGGGGAAAATGAAATTTTTGAAAAAATTTGCCAGGTGGGGGGGTTTCTCATTGATCGAAGAAGAAGTGAGATTTTTAGAAGTTCCAATTGAGTCAGTATCGTTGCATTTTTTGGCTGGAAATTTTTGGATATTTATGTCCAATCAGTACCTGATTCATTGGAATTAGGGAATTTTTGAAAAAATTGCTAGGGGGGTTTCAGATTTATTGAGGAAGAACTGAGATTTTTAGAAGTTCCAATTGAGTTAGCATCGTTGCATTTTTTTGGCTGGAAATTTTCGGATTCATTGGGAAAAAAATGGAATTTTTGAAAAATTTGCTAGGTCGGGGGGTTTCATTGATCGAAGAAAAAGTGAGATTTCTAGAATTCCAATTGAGTCAGTATCGTTGCACTTTTTGGCTGGAAATTTCGGATTCATTGGGAAAAATAGAATTTTTGAAAAATTTGCCAGGTTGGACTGTTTTCTCAATGATGGAGGAGGAACTAGGCTAAGATTTTTTTACAGTTTTTTTAGTATTTGATTTATTGGAAAAATAAGTTTTTTTGAAAAAAATTTCAAAGTTGGACTGTTTTTCTTGGCTCTAAATTTTTGAAATTTATTTTTTTAAAGTTTCAAAAATTTTTTTGAGTTTTCAAAAATGGGACGAATATTTTTTTATCAGTAGAATCTAAAGAGAAATTTTTTTGAATTTTAAAAAGTTTGGTTGGATTTTTCAGATTGATAAGGAGGGGGGTTTCATGAAGTTCAATAAAGTCATAATTGCAGAGGGGGCTTTTTCACAAGGCTTAATAAAGTCAAAATTTCTGAAAAAGCAGTTTTTTTCTTTTTCAAAGAACAAGTTATCATTATAAAAATCACGATTGGGCCGAATTAAAAATAAATATTGAAAAGCAAGTGATTTCAAGCTTTTTATGAGGTTTTTCAGTCAAGATCCTTCGTTTCCCCCAGTCTCTAAGGGGGTTTGAAAAACGAATTTTGGAATGTACCTGTCCTCAGAGTAGGGACCGCAGGCCAATTTCCAAAGTCAGTGATATAAAGTTGAAACCTATATGAAAAGAAAGCTGATGGCAATCGAGAGCTAACTGCGAAAACAGAAAAGAAAAATATGAAAAATGAAAAAAGTTATAAGCAAAAAAGTGGCGAAATCGGGGGAACCATTTTTGTGTAGAAACTTTCGTCAGGGTCGCAGGAAAAGGGGCGTGTTTATAGATGCCGCGCGCTCCTTGCTGTGCGTTAATTCACGCAGGAGACGTTTCGAAAACATATTTATTTGAGTTTTTAGAAGTTTTAAATGAAATATTAGAGTTTTCATATTGAATATTGCTCTTTTTCAATATGAGCCTACTCTTCAAGCACTCACGCTGCTGAAAAGCGAGTTTTGAAGGAGGTTTCAATGCATTTCGTGAAAAAAAGAAAATAACCGACAAAAATAGATCTCTGCGAAGTACGAACAGCATCAAACCGAATTGAAAATGTAACAGTCTACTAAGAAATTCACTGAAAAAAATATGTAAATAATCACCAAGTCCTTTTTTTCAGAGAGTTTTTTTAGGGCGAAAGCGTTTTTACTTTTGACTTTCTACTTCTTTTTATTTTTTTCTCTAAAGTTCGTGCGTCTACATGGAGTGTACGTAGACAATTTTTTAGAATTCTTTACTTGACATTCCGAAAAAGTTCAAAAAAAGTTGAGTAAAAGCGAAATTTAATACTTTTCTCGCTGCTATAATGGATATAATGATATAGGAAAAAGATTCCAATTATGAAATGAGTAAAAAGCAACTATAAAGCCACAATAAAACGAGAAAACTTGAATAGAATACATAAATAGTTTTAAAAAAACCTTCTTCACGCTTTCGAAAAATTTCGTGGCCTTCGCGGTGTCTGCAGATTTCCAGCGACGCGCAGTTTTAAAAAATACTTTCGAGCGTTTAAATTAACCTTACTTTTCGGGCCATCCTAGAAATTTTTTTATTTTTTTGATATGTTGTAGAGAAATGTCTAATCTTTGATATTATGAAATAAAAACTTGCCCAGAACGCTTTGGGCCGTTTTTCAAAGCGTTACAAAAACGGAAATTTTTAAGCTTTCATATAAACTATATAATCGATGAAAAACTTAGTTTTTCTATTTTTTTAAAATTTGCAAACAACTGCAAACAACCGTTTAAAAAAATATAATCAGTAATTATCGATTGCGTTTTTTTCGAAAAATAGGGAATTTCGAAAATCGTGATTTTCAAATTGCGTTATTTTTTGAGGCCAACCATAGAATTTTTTTATTTTTTGCCAGAATATGCGTTTTTAGTTGCTTTATGATATTTAAGAATAAAAAAAGTTGCCCAGAAACTTTCAAGAAAAAACGGGATTTTTATCCGTTTTCGGCCACAAATGCGTTTTAAAAACTGTCGTCATACATTCTTATTTCTTATTTTTCAGTATTTTCTTTTATGTAGGATTGTTAAGCATAGCCGATTGTATGTTTCCCCCAATTTTTTCCCAAATCGGTACAAGAGAACTGTTTTAAAATATGAAAAAGAACCAAAATGCAACGAAAATGACGAAGTTTTTTGAACAGCGAAGTGGGCGTGGCTCTGCGGTCCCTACCTCAGAGTTTCGAATAACTGAATTCGTTTCTCAAACCCCTCCCCTCCCCCCCCCCAGCTTCTAAGGGGGTTGAGCTCTACAGATTTTTAAGATCATTGTTGATTTCAGTTATCACTGAAAAAGAAAAAGTTATCTTGTTTCGAAATCAAAGTTTTTGGACCCTCTAGTGGTTTTTTTGTAGTGACTCCGAGACCACTATGGCGTAATGGGGAATTAAAAAAATATTCGAATAAAATCAATAAAAAGCTCTTC